GGGGCGGGGCCACACCTGTGGCTTCCTGCTGGAGCTCGTGGATCTCACTTGAAATCCATCAGTCCCCAGAAGTGACCAGACGTTGCCAGGCAACCAGCTGTGAGCCACTCACTCACCAGGGGCTGCAATTAGGATGTTTCCGTCCAAAACAAAGGATAAATTTCGTTTCATAAATGGAACTTAGGTCAAATGGACTCCACTCCACACTTCTCACCCACTAACTTTGTAAAATAAGTCCCTTGGGAGACCCCTCAAAGGAGAAGGGAGCCCGCTCCACATCGGGGACCAGGGGGGACAGGAGGCGACCCGCCTCGTCAGATAGGCCACAAATAAGGGCCTGTCTTGGCTCTGGAGGGAACTCTACCACGCTGTGCAGAACAATTACGTTGTTCAGGAAAGCAGGATTTTTCACTAACACAACAGCAAAAATCCAAAAGTTTGACTGTGTGCGTGCTGGGAAGGCTGCGTAAAACACACTGAACAATTACCAAAACTAGCCCTGCCTTGACCAGGCAATTCTACATCCAGACATTTCACCAATGCAAAGCCAGATACACAAGGTTATTTCATGCAACTCCGCTGATAAGTGTTTGTAACAGTAGCTGCACCAGCTTCCTGCGGCTGCCATAACCAACTCCCGCAAACAGAGTGGCTTATCCTGCCTTCCGGAGGTCAGAAGCCCAAAATGGGCCTTGTCCAGCCAGAATCAAAGGCCTGTTCTTCCCAGAGGCTCTAGGGAAGTGGCCGTTTCCGAGGCTTTTCCAGCTTCTGGAGGCTCCCCTCAGTCCTTGGTTCCTGACCGTGTATGGCTCCGACCTCCACTGCCGCCTTCACTTCACCTCCCTGACTCCGCCTCTCCTGCCTCCTCTGGAAAGGACCCTGTTCTCAGTCCTCGAGCCACCTGGACAATCCAGGCTGGTCTCCCCACCTTGACGGCAGCTGCACAGCCCCTCTGCACAGGAGGCGACACTCACGGGTTCCTGAGATGAGTATAGAGACACCTTTTAGTCAGCTGATCACAACAGCAAAGAGTGGGAGCAAATGGCACGTCTCTCCCTCGCAGGCCGGTTAAATAAATTATGGTCAATTTATACAACAGAATACGTTACAGTTGTTTTTAAAAATGAGGAACTCATCATGGACTAAACAGAAAGCTCGCCTA